TCACAAAGAGCACCTGCAAAAACAATTTGTGCCCTTAGCTCTTTATCAGTTTCTGTAAACAAATTGCAAACTCTTCAGCTACAAAGTCAGTAAGATCAAAGAGGAAAAGAGAAGAAATACATTGTTTCAAAAACACCAGCCTCTGACCTGTGAGTGACAGTGTTGCTACCTTTCACTTTCTAATATTTATATCTGGCTTATAGGAAACAAAGTTCTTTAATGAAATTTAATAACAAGTAATAGGAAGAATTGTTAAAATAAAAAGGAAGGTTTTAATCCAAAAATCAAAAAATAAAGTAACAAAAAACAGAAGAAGAAAAATTAATCCGTTCACTTTAAGGGGAGAAACAAAAAACATTGCAAGCACTTCAGTCCACAAAGTATAGTTACAAAGAAAAAAAAAGCTTTCCAGAGCAATCCAATATAGGCTAATTTCGCCGCTTAATTCTTTTGCTTAAGGATTTAATTTGGCTTTAAAAAGTTTCTTTAGGCAGTCTTTCTCAAAATAGAATACCTCACCAGATGGACTCATTTTCTCTTTTCACTTCCTTCCTTCTGGAGCCGTCCCAACTTCATCAGCCTGGGGCTGCCTGTTTACTGCCGGCTTGAAGAACTTCCCTTGGATCAATCAGGGACTTTGCAATGTCCCTGAAACCAGCAAGGCTTTGTCTTCCTGATCACCATCTCTGCAGGATGGTTTAGGTCCAAATGTACCGTCCAGTGGCAAAAGTATCAACGGCGGTCTCAAAGGCTCCTCCTTCATCACACAGACTTCTTGACTGCATTCGTTTCATTATCAGATTCTAAGATGGCTAGACTCCTCTCTCATGTGGCATTAAATTTTTTCTAGAAATAGGATTTTCTTAAGAAATAGACAAAAGCCTGTATCACTTTTAACTCTATAGGTAGTTTAGTGATAAAAAAACAGAGTCGGATTTATTAAACCATAAATATTATGTAGATGATTAAAAACCAGAGTGGAGATCAGCTCCAAATATCCACTTGACCTGCAAGCCATGTGACCTCAAGGTAGGGCTTAAGAGAATGAAGTTACTCCATTAAAACCCATACCAGGGTATTGGGATAAGGGAAATGATTTCTTTCCATATCCTCCAGCACAGATCAAATGACCGCTAGAGAAATTGAATTCAGAAATCTAGAATCCAATTTGTAACTGAAGTTGACATGCCCATCAAATGATAAATCTGAAAAAGCACAACTATAATTTTTCAACAAGGTAGGAAATACTTCTTTGCATAAAATGTCATTTTGTTTTGCAGTACATGTCAGGATTTGGTAATGAATTCAGCTCTGAAGATCCACACTGCCCTGGAGCTTTACCAGAAGGACAGGTATTTAAAATATTGGGAAATAGATTTGGCCAAAAGACCAAAGAATTGTTCAGCCTGGCCTTTTGAGAAGGCAAGATTTAAGTGATGTCACTCTATGAATAAAACTACATGGCGGGGATAGGCAAAGGGGGGGGCACCCTTCCCCCAAGTGCCAACATAACTAGAAGAATGTATTTCTGTTTGATAATGTGTGAAACACATTGAGTCATCAGTTTTAAAAATGGGGTTACCTCTTGTTCTAACAAAGTAATTCTATAAAAGGAAAGTTACCTGGAGACGAGAATGGCAAGAAGATGTTTCCTTGCCTGTTGTACGGACATTGGCTTTACCAGGGAGCTCCTCTTATCTAGAAAACCTTGCTTGAGAAGGTGAAGAGACTTTCTACTGAATTATTTGTGCTTGAAGATGTTTCCATGATTTTGCCCAGCAGAAGGAACTTCATTCAAGTTCAACCTGTGAAATCATTTGCTTCTTCCGGAGAACTCACTCCAGATTCAAATCTTTCCCTTCTTGTTGTAAAACAAACTTTTAAGGTAGCTACTCCTGTCCTAAGTATAGTTAGCTTCTGCCAGTCATTTTTCATCTCTATGTTCAAAGATACTCTCCAAAAGTATGACTGTCAATAACTGTCTAAAGTTATACTTATGTTATTTACAACAGAAGCAAATTTGGGCTATGTTCAACTAGAGCCAGATTGGCTCATTATCCTTGTTCATAAACCTCGTGATAGAAACTGCATTTTTCCAGTTGTATCCTTCAATAGGTTTACAGGGCCTACTGGTCTGTACTGGAAATTCAGAAGTATCTTATGGAGGAAGATGCAAAGTGTTCTTGTGGAATCTATCAAAATATGACATAAAATAAGTCATCACTCTCATTGAATCCAGGAAGAGTATAATTTTATGTAATCTGCATATTAAAGAAAAAAATTCTAATTAATTATTTCTTATTTATTTAGAATAATCCTCAGGTCTGCCCATATGGTCTGTATGCTGAACAGCTCTCAGGTTCAGCTTTTACCTGTCCACGATCCTCCAATAGGAGAAGGTATGTGCGAATTCAGGAGAAATAGCATCATTATATTGGCCATAGAATCCACTGCAACATTCTTTCAAAGAGAAAGGCACTTTGGCTTATGTATGCCTATATTAGTGATAGGCTTAGCCATCAGAACAAAATGTAAGCCATTAAGGTAATGGACTAGAGGCATGGACACCCAGGGTCTGGTCTTTTGTTAGGCATAGAAGCTAATGGGATGGCCTTGAGCTGGTCACTTCTTCTCATGCCAAATCAACATCTCCAATAAGCTGGATAAAAAACAAAACTCCTTTAGTTTCACTCGTGAGAACGAAGTAAGCGAAGAGCAGAAACAGACAGATGCTGCAACTAAGCAGAACAAACACATTTTCCATAGCGTACAATTGAAGGGAGAAGAGCAAAAGTCTGTTGAATCAAACTTTAGTAGAAAAGAAGGATTTGTGGGCTGAGGCAAAGCGTTTTCTCATGCGTCCCTTTTTCTCACTGTGTGCCTTTTCCTTCTATGAATTCCCACTAAGTGGGAAAAAGTTGGTGGGTAAAAAAAAATACATGTTTCCTGTTCAAAGATAATATCTTATTTGTATGATGATGAATGCTGAAATCAGTTGACACAACTGATGTGTGTTCATGTGTGTTCAAGACTAGCTTCAATACTCTTGCTTTGTCCAAAAAAACACAATTTCAAATTGTTTCAAATTTAAATTGTTGTTATATATCCCTAATAATAAAAAGTCTTTTGGAACAACATTTTAATGTTGCAATATTACCTTCTTCTAGTAGGGAGTAGTATCAAATACCGGTATCTACCATACAGGTGACCAGCTCTGGTCATCAGCAGCTCTGGACACCAAAACATTGCCACCCTCTGCAATTGTAAGGGCTCCTCTCCTAACTTAAGAAAGTGAAGACTCTTGAAATTGATTATTTCAAAAGGAACCTTTAATTAAGAAGAATGGAAACCATTAGAGGCAAAGCAACATCTGAATCCCCTTAGGCAATGCAGGTAGAATTAAAGTAGTGGTGACCCCTCCCATGCAAATTCTAACCAATACACAAGTGTGAAGGTGTTTCCTTTATCAACTGCCCTGAGAACTGAATAAACATACACCCCCATGGCTATTTTCCGTTAGACATTAAAGTTTCAGTTTCAGTTTCAGTTGCGTTTATTTATAGGCCGCCCTTTTCCCTGAGGGGACTCAGGGCGGCTAACAACTTATGGGAGGGGAAGACATACAATAACATAAAATACAGTATGTGGTTAAGATCAAACAACATTCATTCAACATTCAACATTCAAAGTGAAGCGTCCCACATGGCCATCATAAACATCCCTCCACAAGGTGATGGGATCTCAGGAATTTCGGCGCCAGGAAACCAGTTGAAAAATATCAGTTGTCGCAGGCACTGCCAGTAAATTGACTCCAAGGCCCCCCCTCCTCCCAATTGAATGGCAGTATCACTTTTTTGGGAACTGACAGCAATATACATTCTAACCAGCAAAGCTGTCTTTCTGGAAACGATGACTGTGCTCCAGTTCATCCATTTCTTCCCTACACATAAATGTTCAATTAGCAGGACATGTACACAGTCCAGTATTGGGGAGGGAGACTCAACAATTATGAAAGAATTGATTACAGCAGTCTTAAAGCTACTCATGATTTAGGAGTATTAGAGAGAAAGTAATTAAAGACTTGAACATATGGTTTAGATTACATCAATTTGCAACACATAAAGCAGCCTTTAGGAGCCGTGGTGGCACAGTGGTTAGGGTGCAATACTGCAAGCCACTTCAGCTGACTGCTATCTGCAGTTCAGCGGTTCAAATCTCACCGGCTCAAGGTTGACTCAGCCTCCCATCCTTCCGAGGTGGGTGAAATGAGGACCCAGACTGTGGGGGCAATATACTGACTCTGTAAACCGCTTAGAGAGGGCTGAAAGCCCTATGAAGCGGTATATAAGTCTAACTGCTATTGCTATTGCCATTTGAAAATCACCAAGAAAGTTCAGCTGGTTCATAATGCAGCTGTGATAATGATAATATGCTTATTGTCAGTCTCCTTATTGCTATATTGCACCATTGCTTTTTCTGAGTATCATTCAAGGCACTGGTTGCCATCTCTAGACACCAGAATTCATAATAAATGTACAAGGATTATATTCATGTATTAGATTCTTTCATTTCCATTACATTTCCAAGTAAGATTTAGATTGATGGCATAGATCAGGGGTGTCAAATGTTGTCATCACATGATGTATCCAATGTTCCCACTAAACTTCGTGGCTGGGCGGCCACGCAAGTGACAAAGAAATGATGCACAGCAGTTTCCAACTGCCATGCAGTGTTTTTTAGTATGATGTACTGGACTAAGCTATGTCGTTGATTTGAGCTCCGAGCTTCCTGAAGATGTCTCCTCGAATGGGGACGAAACGTTTGTAACCAACTTGCCAAGCTTGGAGCTCAAACCAACAATGCAACAGAAATAACTTGTGGTGGTGGTGGAGTGATGTTACTGTTTGTGGACATGGTTACTCAGATGCCGGGGCCAAACTCCTGCCAAGAGGAAAGCGTTGGAAAACGAATTGGGAGAAGGTCCAGCCGCCTATAGAAGCTGGGAGACCCCGAAGAGGAGAAGCAGCACAGGGCTGGAAGCGTGGTCCATCCACCAGCCTACATTCGGAGAAAGTGGTTCCCAAAGTGAAGGGGGGGGGATGCAGAGCTAGAGGTTTGCTAACTTTCACTGAGATAAGTTGACTGAGGGAATTGGACATGGCCAGCCAGCATGGGGAATTCTGGGAGTTGAAGTTCACCATCTTCAAGTCACCAAGGTTGAGAAACACTGAGGCAGAGCCATTTGGCCGGTTTGGCATTTACGCCACTGTAATTGGCTTCTAAATCCCCAGGCAACCGAGGACATTGAGTTGAGAGCGCCCCCTCTAGGTCGCCCAAAGCCATACTGATCTACTTCTTGGAGCCTAGAATGGAGAGAAACGGGCCTGGCCATTAGGTAAGAACGGATAAGCCCTGCACAGAAGCACCTCAGGTCTTTGGGTCTTGTTCCCTTCTCTACTTCCGCTCTTAACCTCATCAGAAAGTCTCTGGAGGTGAATCCATGTGTTTTGTGGCATTGTGTTGTACTTTGCAGAGCAACACCCCAAGATGCCAAAGCAAAGTCCCCACCCCCCATTTCCACTCTCCTGTGAAATATTGGGGTTATAATGTTGGCCTTTATTACCAAGAGGTTGTTCTGATGTATATCAGGCCCTTAAATTTAAGGAAATAGTCCTGGACTACAACAGTTCCTTTGGTGACCATTCAAAGTTACAATGGCACTGGAAAAAGTGACTTGTGACCATTTTTCACACTTACGACTGTTGCAGCATCTTCATGGTCACTTAATCAAAATCAAAATGGTTGGAAAATGTCTCATCTTTATGACGGTGCCTTCTAACAAACAACGGGGAAGCCAGATCCACTTAACAACAGTGTTACTAACTTTACCACTGCAGCGATCGACTTGACAACTGTGACAAGAAAGGTTGCAAAATGGGACAAAACTGACTGAAAAAAATCTCTCACTTAGCAACATAAATTGTGGGCTCAATTGTGGTTGTAAGTCAAGGAGAGTGGAATAGCTGGTACTAAGACACATTGAGAGGGAATGACAGCAGTTACCTCAAGGCCTACTCCTCTCTCTGGCTGCAGATCAGAGGTCACAGAAAAAGGACACACTGCAGTGTGTGATTGCACAAGTGAAAGGCTCTTAGTTGAATTGATGTCTTTTCCATGGTACTGTAATGCTCTTTCCTCTAAGTTTCCTTGAAATGCTGCCCGATTCCACCCATCCATGATCCAGCATAAAATTATACTAGTATAATATTTGCTGATTCCATTGTTCATCCCTATGTTGCCATAGGCATGACACTCTCAATTGGTAGTCTCTTGTTTCCTAGTGCACGAGGAAAGAGTTTTCCCCTAGCTTGTTGCCTCACTTCCACTTCCAGCTGATGGTGGGCGGGGGGAATCATTAAACTGATAATAGATGACAAAGCATTGCAGGTTTTACAGCCTTTGAAGCTGTGAGAGGGCAGATCTAAAATAAAAGAAAATTATAAAACCTTTTCTCTGCCAGCTTGGTTCTCTCAGATTGATTTTATGGCAAATCAATATTTAATTTCTGTAGAGGTTTCTTCGATATAGCATCAATAAAAACTGGACTCCCTTACTATGCTTTTTAAGATAGTATAGGTTTTACACACTTGAAACTATAAGAGGACAGTAATGAAATAAGAAAGGAAATACCACTGTTATACTGGTACAGATGATGATTTAAGATTGTCTTATTTAAAGGATGGGGATAAAATGAGAGCAATTTTGTGCAACCAAGGATTTATCAATCTACCTCCTGGGACAAATTATATTGCCTTGAAATGTCATTGTTCCTTTGTCAGTCCCTATCTTCTTTCTACTGCGAGTTCTTGGCTGCAGTCCCTCCAAAGATTCTGAATTAAAAGGTCTAATGGTGAAAGAAGGAGAGAGAACTTGGTCTTTGTACTAGGTAGCTACAGAAGAACTAAAGGAACCTTTTTACTTGCATACTTCAGAGAGAGTTTGGCATTTGCATCTCCCAGAATTTACTGGCAACACCAAGATTTATTCATCCTCATAATGCTGGCCTTTGCATTCTTTACTTAATTTTTGTTGTTAAGTGAGACATTTGTTAGATGACTTTTGCCCCATTTTATAGCTTTTCTTACCAGAGTTGTTAAGTGAATCATTTAAGTTATTAATAAACCTGTTGTTAAGTGAATCTGGCTTCCCCATTGACTTTACTTGTCAGAAGGTCGCAAAAGGTATTCAGATGATCCGGGGACACTGCAACCATTATAAATATGAACCAGTTACCAAGCATCCAAATTTTGGTCATGTGACCTCGAGGATGCTGCAATGGTTATAAGTGTGAAAAATGGTCATAAGTCACTTTTTTCAGTGACATTATAACTTTG